AGCAGGCTCTGCCCCATTATATGTTGGTCTCACCTGACAATCGGACTGTGGAGGAACTACACCGATTCTCAATATAGGTGGCTTAAATGCACATTCCTTGTTAATGTATGGGATCCTGGAAAGACTCCATGTGTCTAAGGCAACATACCAGGAATACATTCTCATTAGGAGCAACTGCTACCCTTGATCCTTAAGAAAGGCATGCAGCAAAAGGATATCACTTTTTTCCTTCCCAGAGGAGGGAGCTATTTCGGGGTGCAGTGTGGATTTTCTTGCCTTTTTTTCCTGCAAGTGGGAAAAAGCCCCAAACCTTAAGGAACACAAACAAGCCACAGGACCCATGTCCTGGTAGTACACTTGATATAATCACATCCCACCTCACTGAGCAGATCTCTCGAGACCAACTGCACCCAAGAGTACGCAGACGGCCTTTGGGGTCACGGGAGGGTGTGCTTCTGCTTCTTGCGAAAGTATATACAGACGTGCAGCTTTCAAGGTGTTTCTCCTGTTGGGGAAACTTAAATTTTGGTCTCCAAGTGAATTCAGTTAACAAAAAGAAATGTGAATACCACCATTTTTGGTTTTCAAAGTTCATTTATAGTTGCATTCTGCCTACTAACAGCCCTGAGAGCAGAAAGCTCTGTCACTGGAAAGCTGTCACATGCGACGCCTGCACGACACTTGAGTACTAGAGCTCAACAGAATAGGCCACATGGAGCTGGCCCCCATTCAACAAGCAAGATTTTGAAATAAACAGCTATGGTTTTTTCCTTTTTTTTTTTTTTCCTTTAACTAGGCACACACAAACCTGTCTTCAGCTGCTAACCTTAATATATTACTCATTCTTCCTTTCAAATAACGTCATGTTCAAAACCCCAGTGACTGCAGAATATTTACTTGAGGCTGCTACTGCTGGTTTCTCTAGAGCTGTTTATTTTTCCATGCATGAGCTCATTACATCACTCTGGTTTTCTTAAAGGTTGTCAGGGTAAGCTGGATACAGCCTGGAATCTCTCGCTAACTAAAACCAAATCACTAAGTAGCACAAATGGATTTGGAGGTAACACAACTCTGGAAATGAGGAACAACCACGGGTTCCTCAGTGGAGATGGGGTGCTCCCAAACAGGCAGCCATTAGATTTATTTTCTTGGAAGCAGAATACATTATCAATTGTTTCCCTAGATTGTGAACTGTAAAAGAATAACCATTTGGACTGTTCCTGGCCGGAATAGGTTGGGGAGAGGAGGTAGGAAAGTAGGAGGCTGAAACGGTAAACATAGAATGAAAAGACAGTTCCCACCCACACTGATTAGAGAATTACCATTGCAAAGGTCCCACCTGTAGGTCCTGCTCTGACAGTGTTAAAAATAAATGATATATCACAGAGGGAAGTGCTAAATAACAGGCTTGGTTTGGGGTATCCACATGGGTGTGCATGTTTGGGGAAGGGGAAAATCAATTCAGAACAAATATCAAAAAATGATTTTGTCATCTTGCTACAGCAAACAGAACATTGCGTTGATCTAGATCTTTCACTTGCCCTGAAAAGAAAAAAATACTTTTGAGCTTTTTGGATTCATGAAGGCAGAAGACTCAGTTTGTAAGTGTAAAAAAACAAAACAAAACAAAAACCAAAACCCAACACCCCAACAACTGTAACTTTTCTGCTACTCATAAGTCCAGATGTTAGACTATGTTTGTATTTTGGTTCCTGCCTCTGGCTGAGAAGATTTAAACCTGCATCTCAACCTAGTGAGGAAGAGATCTAGTCCTAGAACTGTCAATCCCTCCTAGCAATGGTGTTTTACTTCACGTAGAAAAATTCACTGACGAAACACCTGGAGATGTATAGATTCGCAGTCAAGCGCTCTAGTCACCAGGCTAGAGTCATTCTGCTTTTCCTTATTCCTAGCTTAGTTAGTACTTACACATGCCAAGCAAAAGATAAATGCTCCAAGAGAGGACTGTTTCAAAGAGAACCTCTTCTGCTTGTCAGCACCAAATGGAAGGTGGAACACTCCAATTTCAAATGCATCTCTTATGGGATACAGGCTGCATAAGCAATACGGGGTGTCACCAGCTCTACAATGCTCAGCTACCTGGTGCGTGGTTCACCCCTAAGCCTAACATTGACCACAGACAATGCCGGCAAGTTACAGACCTTATTTGCCTCCATAAAGCCATTCTTAAAATTCTCCTCATGGCGGATATAGTGATGGTGCTAGCTTTCCAAGATGTCCAATGTCAGTGCTGATTGAAGCGCAGCACACCACCTCCGACAGTAGTGTCTGCTGGATCTCACTGCAAAGGACAGGGCTACGTAACCACCGCAGGGAGGAGAGAGATCAGGGTTAAGTCAGTTAAGAACAGAAATAAAAGAACAGTTAGGCTGGATATTACAAAACAAAACAAAACAGAGATTGAGTTCAGACAGCAGAGCAGTTTCTTGTGGGAAGAAGTGAAATCCTTATTGCCTAAGGCATTTATGCCACACTAGAAAATGCTGCTCTTGAAACAGTACAAACATTCACTAGCCTTAAAGGCAGTAAGATGGGATGACCTTCTAGGTCTTTTCTCACCTCTAATTACAGCGATCCCATTAAATTGCTGCGAGAGGACTCTATCTGCTTCAAGACACTAAGTGCAAGCTCAGAGGGACAATATAGCTGAGCGAATATCAAAACCAAAAATCCAACCTTGCACTAGTAAAACTTACCTCAGCCCTTTAAAAATTAATGAAAAAAAATCAGAAAAGTGCTGAGCATTAATATTTCAAGCTGTCAAGGGCCAAAAGCAATTAAAAACTTCCCCTAATTTTGCATGCCCATCTCCTGACAGCTGTTTCATCATCTTCAGCCAAGACAGACTTGAAGACATTTGAAGAACCTGATTCTAAATGATAATTACCCTCCCCAGCTCTTTGTTGTTTGCTCTCACCTACCCTCTATACTGCCTTTTAACATATATGAGAAGGGATGGAAGGTACCAAACAAGGGGACTACGCATCCCTAGTTGAAAGTGACAGACTGAAGTAGCCCACACCTCATATCAGGTCAGCTGTAGCCCTATTTTGATGAGGCAGTATTCCTTGATCTCAATAATTCGGTGTAAGAAATTAAGACGGCTGTGTATTTGTAGAGCTTAATGTGGAAAACTGGGGCTAAAAATTGGCAAACCAGCCTCTTAATGAGATCCCATAGCAAATGAGTGTCTGTCTGGGCAATCAGGAAGGCTGAGTCAGATGAACCACATGTCTCCTTGTAGCTTGTTGTAGAAACCACCTCTTACGGAACTCTTGAATTTCCCAGAAGATAATTTATTCTCAATTTGTAGCATGCACCCACAATAATCATCTTTGAATAATAGAAATGACATCAGAACCAACTGGAAAAAAAGTGGACAGAAGTAAACTCACAGAAGGAACCCTTCCATGAACAAAACTCCAGTTTACATGAGGCAGCTTCCCGAGGAAACACCTGAACAAGCCGATTGCCTTTACAACGTGAAAGCCAGCCTATTTTGGGTGTCAGGCCAAGAAAGGGTGGGAGACAGGCTCTCAAGTAAAAGACCCTCTCACTCCCAAATGCCTTTGTAGCCTCCTAGAACCTACACCTAGGAACTCTTATTGCCATCGCAGCTACCAGGTTTGCTACGTTAGAAGGAAAGTTGGTCTCCAAGATAGGTAGGACTTATTACATAGGATTTTAGTATTAAACTGTCACCTACAATTGCACTGTGAGCTGCCGGTTGCTGCAGCATCACACAAGCACAAGCTGCATTTTCTTGCCCATGAAAGACATCCTTAAGGAAGAATGCTGACAATCCTGCATCATCTGAAGCATCTGGATGATTCCCACTGGCAGTTCCTACACAGACCACTCTGCTACAAAACCAGTCAGAAGGTGAGGCACAGCAGACTGGGTAACAATGGATGTCCTCTTCCTAAGAGCTCTCCTCCACTCTGCAGGAAGAGGATCTCACCTAACCTAGCCCTGATTTCACCCTGCAGCTGGGAGGTGGCACAGGAAGGTTAAGGCATCTGCTGAGTGCCATGAGTAATCCCTGGCTAATCCAGAAATACCAGGTGATGAGGTACTTCAAGGTATCACAATTTATCTGTCCTAGGGACTGGAGTTATTCCCAACAGCTGTTCTAGGCATATATTGTTTTACAAAATATATACAGTAGTAGCAGCTCCTATTTAAACCTTAAATAAACCCATGGCTTCTTAAGGCAATTTTTTTCTTTTGATATTCCCTATACCTTCTTCCTTTCTCCCACTTAATTTAAAATATATCAGATAGAAACCATTCTTACTGAGAATCTCCAAATTTCTTCTTCAGATTCTTCCAGTTTCCTGTGATTTCAGTGACTCCACAGTTTCACCCTCATCTATATCTCAATTTTTACATCTTAACTTCACGTCATCTTGCTCCCCCTTTCCCCACTCATGTTCACGATCTTTTCTTTGCTGTTTTTTACGCTTCAGTCTTCACTCATCCACTCTTTTACCCACAAAAATACTCTCAACTTTACTTAGGCCAAAACATAAAGTAACCTACTTTCAGTTGTGAAATAATCCAATCATTTCTCTATCAAAAAAATATCCCCCACAGAGAAGAATCTTGGAAGTTGCTAGAAAATCAGCCCCTCTGTATTTTCTCAACTGCTTAGACCAAAACCACAGCCCAGATCTCCGAGCCAAATGCAAACAGAATAAAGATGACAGCTGGCTGGGATAAATTAACAGACAAACAAATTAGAGGTTCCCCAGTTATGGTTTGTGGAAACGGCAACATCTCATCACACACTGACTGTGGCCTTCTGGACACAAAAAAGGATGCTTTCTGAAATTATTGTATAGCCTGCACTTCAAGTCCTGCGACACCGAAAAGCAGCAGGATAGCTACAACGAAGAAAAATGAAACAAGAACAGACAGCGAGTGGCTGCAGCCTAGTTAAAAGAAAACTTTTCATCTTTTTTTAGATGAAACATTACCTGAATTCCTTACACTGGAGCTGTTCAGTTTGGAGTCTTTGATGACCAAGTGCTTAATCCAAAGGGTGGGTGCTGTGATTTCTGAAAGAGAAAAAACAACTGCCTTAAAGAAACTACAGCAGCTAGTGAATACACATGGTTGTTACTTGTGAGGACAAGATGTTTGCTACAACACTGCTTTAACTGATCCATCATCTCTGTAGAGATCAGCTCATCCCTTGGTGAGGTCTTCCACCTCTTAGGAACCACTATTTGAAAGTCTTCCACAAGGTGTTCTCATTATCTTCCCATTCCAGAGAGTATCTCCCTGCTGGCAAAACATTTATTTTTCCTCCCTCCACCCCCCACTTCCTAAATTCTCAAGTCTAAAGCCTTTCTCCTCAAGATTTAAAAGAAGGTTATTTTGTGTGCTATAGCATATATTAGTTTCCACTAAAGTACATATGAAACAGATTTAAAAACAAGTCAATCCAGACCTTAAATACTGCTTTAACAGCCCAAGAAGAGCTGACCACAGTCAGTTCCCTAAAACATGCAACAACAAAATCCCAAATAAATAGGCAGGGAAATGAAGATATTTCTGGAAAGACTTGAAAGGAAGTCTGTTAAAGAAACAAGTTCTGCTTAGAAAAGCATGTCTGATGCACTACAACCAAGACACCCAAACATAAATTTGTGGGGAAAAAAGTGCTTAGAGCACCTCCTCTGAGGTGTTACAATTCATTTCAAAACACAGCAGAACCCGCCCTAAGCCACAGAAATGACACAACACCAGCATTTGATTAGAACCGAGCAAAGCAGTGCTCAATACCATGGGCTAGAGCTCCTCAAGTGACATTTTCACAACCAGTATTTTCTGAAAAACAAATTCAGTTTCCACAAAACTGAATTCTGGGGGCTGACCTGCTGGAAAGCAGCTCTGCAGAGAGGGACCTGGGAGTCCTAGGAGACAACCAGTTGGCCATGAGATAGCAATGTGCCCAAGAAGGCCAGTGGGATCTGGGGTAGATTAAAAAGACCGTGACCAACAGGTCAAGGGAGGTCATCCTCCACTCCACTCTAGTGAAGCCGCATCTGGAGTACTGTGTCCAGTTCTGGGCTCTCCAGTTCAAGAAAGTCAGGGATCTACTGGAGACAGTCCAGAGGAGGGCTACAAAGATGATTAGAGGACTGGAATGTCTCCCTTAGGAAGAAAGGCTGAGGGAGCTGGGTCTGTTTAGCCTGGGGAAGAGAAGGCTGAGAGGGGATCTCATCAATGCTCATAAATATCTGAAGGGTGGGTGTCAAGAGGATCAGGCCAGACTCTCTTCACTAGTGCCCAGCGAAAGGACAAGGGGCAACGGGCACAAACTGGAATGCAGGAAATTCCATCTCTACATGAGGAAGAACTTCTTTGCTTTGAGGGTGCCAGAGCACTGGAACGGGCTGACCACACAGGTTGTGGAGTCTCCATCTCTGGAGATATTCAAAATCCGCCTGGATGCATTCCCATCCAACCTGCTCTAGGTGAACCTGCTTTGGCAGGGGGGTTGGACTAGATGACCTCCGAAGGTCCCCTCCAACCCCTAGCATTCTGTGAGCATTCTGTGTAAAATGTACCTTAAATCCTAAATCCTGGAGTTTGTCTTAAGTTTTTACAAGAGTTTTCTTGCTCCCTTGTTGACATTTACATGGATCTGCTCAGCAAGGGAGAGGCTGGCTGACTACAAAAGAAACTGATTGTACATTACAAGAGCACAAAGGAAAAATGAAAGGGAATTTTTCTTTCCTAAATGTTTTCAGCCACATTGCAGGCATTACTGTAATCATGTTAGAGCATTGTTTTATATGGAAATATAGGTTGAACACCGATATTCCAACAGTGGTAAAAGTTTGCATAACAAAGATTGCCTTATCTGCAGGTTTCACTACACTGTTTTATCATCACTCAGCCATGATGTGCTCCTATAAATACATATACCTATACCCTTCGGGCCTTTTTTGGGGAGAACTACATCAAACTAAACACTGGGTGAGAGGTAGGGAAAAGCACAAAAGTAGAAGTCCATAAGCCAAAGTGCTGGATCCAAACTTCTAAATCTGGGATGAAATTTAGCTTTGGCTCTGGACTGTATGGACTGGGTATGTCTACAGCTGAAAAAGGAGGGACAAAGTCAGTGATGCCAAAGAATGGGTCAGGGCCTTTAGGGACACAATGGTCCTGGGCTGGACTAGGTGCCCTCTTACACACCCTTTCACCAGTGTTTTGCCACAAGGATTCTTAGTAACTGAGCAGAGCCACTTCCCTTAGAGCTGCAAGAGTTCATCTTATAAGACCACTAACCATGGCCAAAATGGGAAAAGATGCTCGACTGTATCACTGTTGGGGAAAAGTCCTAATAGAAGTTATATCCAATCTAATCCACGCCTACTCAGTTAGGTCAAGTGGAGATATAATATTCACAGAATCATCATTTATATTAGATATCAGGAAAAAGTTCTTCATGGAGAGGGTGGTGAAGCACTGGCATAGGTTGCCCAGAGAAGCTGTGGATGCCCCATCCCTGGATGTCTTCAAGGCCAGGCTGGGGGAGGCTTTGAGCAGCCTGGTCTACTGCCCATGACGGGGGGGTTTGTACTAGATGGTCTTTAAGGTCCCTTCCAACCCAAACCATTCTATGATTCCATATCTTTAAATGAGGTTGAAAGGTGCAGAAAATAATTGGGGGAAAGGAGGAGAAAGATAAAGAAAAGGAAAGGAATCCTTTGGGATCTACCATAAAAAAAAGTGTATTTTCCATCCAGCTGACCCAGACATTTTTTGGAATATAGGTAAGCAACATACTCTTCTGAACAACAGATCCGTGGAAAGAGTAGATTCCCACTGAGTTAAGAGGTTGCATTGGTGTTAAAGAACAACAGAGGTGAAGTTTACAAAAAAGAAATGTTTATAGAAGTTATTCTGTAGGAAATTAACACAACTTGCACATTGAAACTAAGTAGAGGGTAGATGCAAAGAAAACAAAGCCTGGAAGTGCAGGAGTGAATAAAACTTTAAAACTTTAGCAAGGACCTTTAATAAAATACTCTTCTGCAGAGGAGAACCTTGTCCTAAGAGTACAGTCACTATAAACATCGCTGAGATATGCATTGTAATGAAGTTAAATAATTTTTATGATTCAAACCTTGGACAGGAAAGTTTAAGTTATCTGAGCTACACTATCTCTGGCACTGCTCTGTTATGCCCTCAGGGGAGATGTTAGGGAGTGGGAGGGGAGCTTATTATGCCTGAAATGTGAATTTTTATTATCCTTTAATATAGGTGAAAACATGAGAAAGGTGAACCTTCATCTTGAAGATGTTGAGGTCCAAGAGTTATCACACATTTCAGGGCCAGCTGAGTGTATTTAATGCCCTTTGAAAAGAAAGTGAGCCACTTGTGAACTGAAGGCAGCCACTCAAAAGCAAAGCATGAAAAGAAATCCCACATCTCCATTGTCCATTCATTTTGCTATCAGCTCCACTCTGGTTGCCTGACTTTGAATACCCAGGTTTTCAGGAGCCCAGACAATCTCAAACCCACTGAAACTGAATGGCATTTGGTCTTTAACTCCTTTGAACGTCCACGAAGAGTCCAGACCTGACAGGTGAAAGCACAACTGCTTTGCCTTTTTCTGTCATGTGACATTTGTGTCAAACACCAAGTATAAGCCATTCCTCAGGAATACCCAAGACACTGGGAGAGTATTTAGTGAACTATCATGACACCTTTGCTCAGACAGAATCAAGGGATTGTTCAGGATGATATCCTGAGGCATCTAGTCCAATCTTCTGCTCCGGACAGGGTCAGCTATAAGAACAGACCAGGTCGCTCGTGGCTTTATCCAACTGGCTCGGAAAGGAAGGACAGAATATCACCTCTCTAGGCAACCTGTTCCACTGCCTTATTCTGCTCACGGTGATTACATTTTTTCTGATATCTAGTCCAAATATTTCATTTCTATTTATGACTGTTGTCTCTCATCATGCATTACTGTGAAAAGCCTGGCTCCATCTCCATGATGAACCTCCCTGTAGGTACTGGAAGGCTGCTGTAAGTCACCTTTAAGTCTTCTCCAAGCTAAACGCTTCTTAGACTCTTCCTGAAGTACCCACTTCAGGCCACTGTTGGAGAGTGTACGCTCTCGGTAGTGGATTACACAAACCTTTGGTCATGCCCAGAATGGATTTTTTTTTTTCTGCTTATTGTTACAGCAACCGCTGAAAACTCGTTAGTCCTATTTTACTAACAGGGATGACAAAAATACGGAGTGACAAACTTAGGAGAGGTTATTCACTGATGCATAGCTTGATTAACCTGCCTGTCATATTTTCTTCTCCCAAGTCATAAGGGACATCGCTAATGAAACAGGAAGCCATTGCATTAGTCATTCCCTCTAGAAGTCTAGCAGTTAAGGACTTGCGTAACACATTGCCCCTCACAAATCTTGCAATCTCATCCCACAGTCAGTCCAAGCCCATTTATCAGACTTGATTTCACCAAAGGTTTTTGATTGACAAGGTTTTTCTTAAGTGTTGAGTCTCTCCTAGAAGGAGCTTCTAAACAGGCTGTATTAACTATATCAGCTCAGCCCTGCATTTTCCTAGTGCATTCTTTCCTTCGAATATCAATGGGCATCCTCTCAGGGGAAAACTTAAAGGCCAGAAGTTTGTGATTACAAACAGCAATTTAATACACCACCAGCTTGCTGCCAGGAGGAACTTGCTTTGACACAAACAAGAGAAAGTCAGCAAGGCTTCGGTCTCCTTTGTTTATTTGAGAATGCTTTTTGCTCTGAGGGCTTTACTTTGTTTCTTAAAGCTCACAAGAAGATTCTTACAAACCCTATGATCACTAAATGGAAGTGACAGGATTACAGCATACTGCCATTAAATAAGCTCATTTTAGCAACCAAAAAACCCCATCCCATCACCTGTTTTTACAAGAAGGCAGGAGGTATCAACACCACCACCTACTCTTGCTCAGTACTCTGCATTTCAGCCTCTGATCCAGTTAAATAAAAAAGTGTCAAGTACAGCAGTTCAGTATGAAAATGCATAGGCTTTCCCCCACTGCCTTATGGTCCACACTTTCAGGTAGGTTACAGACTTCTGCCCACAGCCTGACTATAATGGTTGTGGGTTTAAATTTATAGAAAACTTGCATTACTTCTAAGCAACATGCAAGATATAAGCAGCTGCAGATAGGCCCATTCACTACCCAGGGACCACTATCCCCACTGGTATGTGTGTTTGTCTGTGTAAAAGGCTTGAACCCTCTGTGATGACAGCCATTTTATCCTTGTTTCAAAGCTTCCAATGGATTAGGGTCTTATATTCCCTCTGCAAAATAATACAGTCACAAGATTAGTCCATTTGAGAAGGAAACTGCCTTGGTGGGCCATGAATTAAGTGAGCCCAGGACACTGTCTTCATTTACTTAAATAGTATATGCGTCAGTGAAAGTAATTGCTAAATGAAGAAACCTCCCAGCAATTTTCTTCCAAGTCAATATTCACAAGCTGTGGTTTAGCACTACCCTCCCTTTTGTGAAGCTGTAACATGTTGCAGAGGTTACAAAAATCCCAGCATTGGGATCATGAGGGTGGAGAGAATGAGGGGGTAAGCACAGTGTAAAGGAAGTTGCCATTTCTGACTCAATGCACTTTTTTTGCCATGACACCTTTTCCTCCAAGGTTACCCCAGGAATCCAGTCAACTGATGTTATTGTTGGATTCCAGGGAAGAGAGAAGGATGTAAAAGGATTAGGGAAAATGCCTGAGGTCCCAAGAGCACTGTGAAATTTGGATAACTTATGAGATTCACTGGCTTTTCTGCTTTGCGGGATAAAGAAAGCATTCGAGCCATAAATCCTAGGGAAAACAGAGAGGGAAGTAGCTTTTTTGTTGTTGTTATTTTAAGGGATGCTCTTACCTTCTCCATCGAAAATAGGCTGGGTTTCCATGGTAGGCGTTGGCTTCGAACCGTCATCTGAATTGAGAGTTAAAAAGAATCGAAAAGAAACTACCATTATTGAGGTAAATACTATCTACTCTCCAGTACTGTTGAATGATTGGGATTTGTACATGGCCCGGCCAAGTCCAGAAGTGAGAGCAGACAGACAGAACGAAACCAGTTGACACTAACAGCAACAACGTTTTACACAGCAAGCATGCATCAGGCTCTACACTCAGACTTGAAAGAAGCCTCCCGTCCGCCCCCTCCACAAACCACTGGTGTGCATCACCTGGTAGTCTTCTCCTGTGGCACTGATCAGGCAATCCCCCCTTTTAGTTTCAGGTGGCTATATCCCCCACCCAGGACATTTCCTGAGGCAGCAGTGGTCTGGAGAGTGCTGTCTCACTCTGTCCTTCTCCTTATTCTTTTGTTCAAAAGAAAAACCCTTCTTCTGAAACTTACCCGTGCAGAACCTGGCTCCACCATTCACTGCAGAGCTGTTAGAAAGGGATGGTCAATAGCAAATGTTTTTTTCTCACAAAGTCTCCATTCAAGGTCATATCAAGGTGTTCTGTAATTGCAACGCTGCCACAATGTCTTCCAATTGCAAAATTGTGGAAAAAGAACTTCTCTTACATTAGGTTTTTCATGGGCAAGAGCGCTCCATGTCTTCTGACCACAAGTCTTTCAGAATTAAAAGCACCAACTCATCAAGATTCCATAGGAAATGTGAATCTCAATATTTAGAGAGGGACCACAGGGAAAAGCGTTCCGTTCACACTGTTTGGCTTAACACGCCTATCCCCATCATACACTCAGCCTGAATCCAAGCTGGGACTGTAGATAACTTCCTCAGCGCTCAGAGGCATCAGAATTTCAAGCCCCAGCTTGGAGCATCTTTACACAGCACTAGAGCAGTGGCACAGCATTAAGCGTGGCAAAACCTTTTCCTGTGGGCAAGCTAAGATGGAACAAACTGTAAAGTATTTTGTTACATTGCAAGATTTGGAAACAGAATATTTTGGGGATGTAAACTGAGATTAACACAGAATTGCTTTTCCTTTTTGCAAAGTGACTTTTAAAACTTACAATTCATAACAACTATTTTTTTGAAAATGTTACAATCGAAGGCGACACTAAACATCAGCAAAGTGGGCGGTGACCTAGAGCGTAGCACAAGTATAGCGAAAAATCAGTTGGAGGGAGGAAGCTTTCCACCATCTCCCCAACTATCACACACACAGGGCAGACAACATTTGGAGGAAAGGTGCATGGGACAGCCCTCCTAGAGGTAGCAATATCTGCCCTCAGCCTTCCCTTATATTAGTTCCAATGACAAAAGTAAGAGACTATTGGAAAGGGAAAAGAAAGGCAGAGATGGAAAACAGAGGCTTGTAGACTGTTTTTCCATCCATACCTGTATTTGCAGGTTTATAAAGTGAGCAAAAGCCTGAACACCTCTTCTCACAGATCATTAATTTTATGTATTTCCACAGAAAGCAAAAATGTGCTGGTAATTCCATTTCAACCTCCGAGATCTACTGAAGTAAAGGAGGCTGACAGAAATGAGCCAGAGAGACCTAGATGTCATTTTCCCTCTTCATCACTGTATTTGGCGCTATGCTTAATTGCAAGCATAGCAACAAATGTTTGGAAGAAAAAATACTTACCTTTCCTCAGTCAACTCTTGTTCTGAGTTTTCCTGTTATCAGGTATTACCAGTAACATGGATAAGCAGTATTTTTCTTAAAAAGTTTGAGCAACTGATTTTTTGGAAAAATTCCCTGTATTTTTTTTAATTTACAAGAAGAAATAGTTTGCCCTTTAAAGAAATCTTTGTATATAAGTAAATAGTGGATCTTCACTTTTTTTTTTTTTTGGTCAGAATATGCTTCTCTGCTTCTGCAAGATCCCAGAAACCACAGCTACGGCTCATTATTTATTTAGGATGACACTTCACACTGTAATGAAGCAGTGAGCAGTATGTAAATCAGCATGATTGGCTTTACAGATTGAGAAACCAACCCAAACCGGCAAAAGGTATTCATAGAACAACCAGAAAGGTGAATAATTCATAAATTGTATAAAATAGGAAGAAACCTGGCATAAAAGAAATTACCAGTATGATAATAAGTTTATTCCCGTTGTTCTCATGAATGCTTCTGTACAGAGTAATTCCAGGATTGCTTTTGGATTTAAAGCAGCAACCCAGAAGCCAACAATGAAGAAAAATTAGAAGTGGATCTGAGCCACAACACTTTATCCACACCAATATGTGAACTTTGGCAGAACTCGGGATGCTTCCAGTTGAGGGGGCTTCTTTTAGGCTCGTGTGTGTGAAGACCAGGAACGGTAGCAAGTACAATTTGGGAAATACATTCTTCTTCGAGAATTTTGCAGCAGTTTTTGTATAAAGTTAGCCACTAAGCTACTGGAGAGTATTAAACAGTGACAGAACAAATGCAGCAAATAGAGAAAAATACCAAACTAACCTTTGAACGGAGGGGTTTAAGACAATTTCAGTAAAATGGCTCTGTGAACTACACAATCAACTCCTCACCAGGTTACTAAGGCCAAATTGTCACTAAGTCCACATTGTAGCAGCACCAAGTACAGTAATAAGGGTATTGCAAATAGAGGGAAGCATAATTACTCCCCTGTTGTTCAAGCAAGTACAGTTCTTTCATCACAGATACAAGAAAAAAAATCCAATAGACAAGAGCCCTGTAATTACATTCACCATATTTCAAAAAATCAAAACCCAGGGATATTTGATTTTTTTTTTAAAGGTCATGAAATAGTCACACAAAAGACAAAAATTACACTTTATTAAAAACACCATGCTTGCTTCCCAGCTGCCAGCTTCTTACTCTCAAACTACCAAAATCTATTTCTTAAACTGGAGAATTCTCGGGAGGTCTCAATGTTTCAAATTAGCTTATGGCAAAGAAGTTTCACTGCTGTTCCCTCTGGGCAGAAGAAGAACCCTAATACTTGTCTATTTGTTTGACTTTTCCCCTTGCTCAATACACTGTTCGTCATACTGAACATCTATTCCACTGGCCTGTTTGCTCCTGGTAAACAAGAAATAAGTTGTATTTCACATACCTGAAAGTTCTGAACAAACATTTTGTATCCCTTAAAGCAGCATTTTAACACAGAAAAGAAAATAGAAGCTATTTCAGGGATTTGGGGTCACCTGTGACATTATGAGATGTACAGGATATAGTTACTTTGAAGCCAAAGGGAACGAAGTATGTTCATCGGGTACAATCTTCCTTTCTTCAAAGAGCTATTTAATTCCACTCTTTCAAAAAAGGTGCGTAACTGCAGCAGTTCCTCATGCACAGCACGTCACAAACAGAGGGATCAAAGAGGCCAAGTGCGTGCTTCCTAATCCCTCTAGATGGCAATGCTTCCAGGTCAGGAACTCACGTACTGCAGAACCAACCAAGATAATTTCCCTTGGTTGCAGAATATTCTCAGAGCCTTGATGCAGAGTGCACTGGCATGCTTCTCTTCCATGTTTTACAAGCCAGCATGAACACCCACTCTCCTTTTCCAAGACAAGCACTCAATACAGACAGCATCACTCAACAGAACACCTCCCGATGGGACATCGTTTTAAAGCCAAAAAACTCCTTTCCAGTAAGCCTCTTTTTCTTAGGGCACACTTGCAAAAGTTGAACTGATTTTTCTGGCTCAGTTGGTGTCAACTTAAAAATGGCATTTGTATCTTATCAGTGTAAGAGTGAAACAGGCAGGTCCAAACAACTCTCCCTAAGCCATTTTCACATTAGGATACCACGGCTATAAGTCCACTTGCACCACTACTGTCAGAGACTCATAAACTTAAGAACAGGGTTTTTTTGCATTAGCCTGACAATAACTAACAACAGGGACAATTCTGTGTACAGACCAACTGGTAGTTGGCGGGGGGGCAAGAACTCCTTGTGCTCCCATCAGGGCTTCCCTCCCTCACCCTTACTCTTGCAGAATATCTAGCAAGCATACACATCTGGAATGACTGCAGTGTACACGGGGGTCAAGGGACAAGGAGATTCAGTTCATGCGAAACACAACTGTTAAAGGGATCTTTTTACTCTGAACGACAGGCACTGAAGCCACGAGCAACTCGAGTTATGTCAGGAGAAAAGTAAACTCCCCAACATGGAAAAAGCATAAATTAGTATGGAAAAATGTGAAGCAACCTCCTGCTGCGGTGAATCACTGCTCTTGCCTCAAGCCACCTACTGGAAGCTAGAGAAAGGGGAAAAGTTAGGTGATAGAATTAACCTCCCGTGTCACTTCTCCTACCCAGGAAAATATACCCAATGCAAGTCATCTGTGTGTTTGCATCACCACGTCAACGGACAAGAACTATACGCTTCCTAAGCAACCTCAGCCTTCAGTACATCACTTCTGTGTCCTCTCTGGAATCCAGCAGACGCTGTAAACATTTCTACCATTTTAAGGAATGCTAGTGTTTATGGGGTCAACCATCCAGGCCTTGTAGAAAATCTAGTCTTTTTTTAAGTCTGCAACTTGAACATCAACAGTTCCCAGGCTGAGTCTGCCTGACAGAATAGAAGGATGACAACTTCAAGTGTATTGCTCTGTTCTGGAAGGAGGCAGCTTTCTTCCAGCGTCAAGTCGTTCCTTCACTTACCATCACCTGGCTTTGGGAGAGGCATTACAGAGCTTAGCTGAAGCTACATAGGCAGCTTAGAGAACAGATAGCTAGGACAATGAGCGAATTCTTAGCATGTCGTGTTGGATGCAGCAAAGCCTGGCTTTAGTGAGTCTGTCAAACCAACAGGAAGGGAGATGATCTTTCCTAGGCTTGAGCACTCCTGAGGGACTGAAGTCACCTTGCTGTGGCTTTGGCAATTCTGGTCAGATGCAACAAAGACCTGCCAGGTCAACTCATGCTCCCTGTATCTGTGCAATTCCTGGATCTTGAAGATGCTATTTTACAACTTTGGCATTTCTATATATTACCCTCAGGCTTGGGGGTGTTGTTGTAAGTATTA